TGCCACATTGTAAAGAAAAACTTTGTTATCAAAAAATAACTTGGGGGCCTGGAGAGAGAGTTCAGTCATTGAAATCTCTTATTGAGCTTGCAAAGGAGCCAAATTTTGTTCCCACCAACCATTTTGGGTGGCCCATACCACTTGTAACTCCAGCTCTCACAGATTCAACAGCTTCTTGAGGACTCCAGAAGCACCTACATTCACACGTGCACCTACCCCCACACCATACACAATCACGAGTGCACTACCCCCCACCCCTATACACAGTCACAAATGCACCTACCCCCACCCCATACACAGTCACAGGTGCGCCTACCGCCCCCATACACATTCACACGTGCACCTACCCCCACCCCATACACATTCACAGGTGCATCTACCCCCCACCCCTATACACATTCACACGTGCACCTACCCCCACCCCCATACACACTCCACACATGCACATATTTAAAAATAAAGTAAATCTTAACAAGTAGACTCACAAATAATATGAACTTATAACTATTTCCGGAGGAATGAAGAGTGAGTTTAATTTTTCTGCTGAGGTAAACAGGGGAAGCAATAGAAAGCACACAAAATATTATCCTTGCTGTTTTAAAATAATTGATATTGATATATCAAAGTGAATTTAAATGAATTGAAGTAGAAAATGAAATTTAAATGAATTATTTAAAATAATAGATTATAATTTAAAGATGTATTTATCACTATTAGTTTAAAATACTATAGGAGGCTTATTTTTAAGGCAGATAAAATTAAATGCTTATGTTTATATAGGAGACATGAACAGGAATATAAGAGAGATAGCTGAATATTTAAATGTTTCCATGAAGATCAAGGTTTTGAACAAACATGATAAAGAAAAATGCCAATTTTAAAGTTAATATTGGGAATAATAGCTGTGTGTATTATAATTCATGTCAAAGAGTTTAAGGGTCAGGAAAGGTTTTGTGCTTTAAAACAATGCTCCACTGGAGATATAACTTTCAAATGCATTTCATATTAGGATTTATGTTTTCTGACATTCAATCAGGCTATATCGAAGCACAAGTAATTTATGAGAAGTATACCAGCAGTTTTGTAAGGTAAAGCAGTTCTTTGAAATGAAGGATCACAGGTCACAGCTAGTAAATTCTGGATTTAATATACCACATTGCTCTACTGTGACCTGCAAGAAGTCATCACTTTTCAAAGTATGTAACTTGCTTTCTGAGAATAATTTATATATCATAATCTTCATTATAGAGTATATTTGATAATAAATTATACATTACAGAAATGAAGGACAGATATGAAATATCAAGTACTTAAGAACTTAAGAGCATATTGCACGTAAAGTCTCACAGAAACCAAACACTCCAGAAGTATCTCTTCTGCATACATGGTTTGCTGTTTTATTTCACACAGTGGAAAGATTAACACTTTTTCTCCTTCTTACTCTCCAGTCCTTCTCTACCCACCACACACACCCTTGCTCAAAACACAAGTAGAAAGTCTTTTGTACTGGGTGGTTACAATCTATAAAACTTGTTTTCATTGCCACTCTTCACACTAACATTGTGTATATAATTCAACAGTAAAACAATCATAATAATTAGATAATTGGATCCTGGGCACATTTTACTTATACAAATCAAATCCTATAAATTCAGTCAAAATAAAGTGTTTAAAAATAAACAGAAAAGGGGAAATTAAGAAATAGAAAAAAAAACATATTGTATGGGTGCGTTTACATATTCACTGAGGATTGGCCCCAGGTAGGTACAAACTTAGCATGAATTTTTTTTTTTACTTGATTTGGCACAGATATGGTGTTCTTGTGATGGAATTCAGTACTGATGCAGTCCTCATATATAAGCATCATACTATTGACTGAACTTTTAATGTTTAAAGCTGTGTATTTCTCATATGGTATTACCCCTAAGTGTGATGTTGTAGTGATTCCTGGTAATCAAATAAACAGCAGAAATGGAGTTTTAATGAGAGAAAGTGAAGAATGTTGTATAAGGATTGATTAATAGAGAACTTTGCACTGGATTTAGGGATTTTTCTAGGATAATTTCAAAATGAAATTATACTATGTGTTATGAATCTCATTTTATAGCAGCCTGATCTTGTTAATCACAGTTCATTTATCTAACAGATACTTACAGAGAAACTTTGTTGCATTATATTGGTTTTAGAAAAAAAAAGTGAGACAGAATGAGACTCACATGTTAGAAAAATGAATAGCAGACATGGGAACTTTAGTATTTGGAAGAGCACATGTAGACACCATTGAGAGTCTAAATTGTGGTGGACAAAGCAGTAAAGATAAAGAGAAGCTGATGAATGACACAACATAAGTCAGTGTATTTGACCTTTAGTCGGGGAGATGGAATAAGAATAATGTTCTATTTTAAGTAAGATAAATTTAACATTTTAAATCTCTAAAATAATTTGACTCTGTATGTAGACATAAAATATAAATCGCCAGAGCTGCAAAATAATGACAAATTATAATTCGTTATGTAAAAATTAGGATTGTTGCCAAAATGGTAGTACGTTTCAGCAACACCAATTTGTTGTTATTCAAAGTGTATTCTAGAGAAAATTGGTCCTGTGAGATATAGTTTAGAAAAGAGTTTTCTATAGTCAAGCAGTTTTGTAAAATAAATAAACACATACATAAATAAATAATAAATAAAAAGGTGTGGTGGCACATGCTTACAGTCCCAGCATTTGGGAGGCAGATGCAGGTGGATCTGTGTGAGTTTAAGGCCACCCTGGTCTATATAGTGAGTTCGAGGCCAACTGGGGCTGCAGGGCAACCCTGTTTTAAATCCAAAACAACAACAACAACAACAACAACAACAACAACAACAAAAACTGAAAGGCCTGGAATTCCTTAAACTTTAACAAAATTACCTATTATATAAAATAGAATATTGTTTCTTTGCCCCATTTCCATGCTTAACCATAGAGTTATGACATAGAATAATTGGAGTTATGACATCTAATAATTTATGATACAAATATAAATCTATATTGATACAAAATAGTTTTTAATCAGGAGCTAGTTTCTTCTCTTGTTTGCTGTATAATGGAGAAAATAAGCCGTTTTAAGGATACTGCCAACTTGACAAAAGGAAAGAAGTACTTCATTTACCTTTTTATCTTCTAATTGTTAAGATCAAGAAAGATAGAGGCTACCTTTAACCAAACCTGCCACTAATCTGAAATTAAAGTAAGCAGTAAGAAAATGTACAGCTCCTAAAGACCAGAATTAGGAGTCATTGCATTTCATTTACATTTTATAAGCATAAAGGAGATACATTTCTTTTCCTTTAATTTTTCCTTCTTTATATACTCATTTACTGCATAATTTTTGCTGGTCAGTATAATGTTCTACTTGATTGACTACAAATTTGATCATGCTGTAGGTACTGGCTAAAATAAACCTAAAATTAAAGCTACCAGGAAAAATTGCAGGATACATTGTTAGTTACCATAAGACCTATGCAAAACTTGCAATCTCTCATAGACCCATGCTTTTTAAAAAGCCTTCAAATAAATGAGTTTTTCAACAAAAGTTGTACTATATGTCTAGCATGCAAAACAAAATATATGAAGCAAATCATTGTCAACAGGCACAGGTTAATGTGGGATGCCACCATGGTCATGACTATCTCAGAGCTGAACCTGAATTAAGAGATTTCCTTTCCATTCATACATTCCAAGTATAAAAATAAGAATTCTTATTATATACATGGAATTATAATTTTCATTTTATAATATCTTAAAATCAGAAAGAATGTTAACGTAAAATACTTGTTACTTAATCACTCTCTTATTGGTCGCATTAGTGGCTGAATAAAGTCATCACGGCTGTAATAAGAACACACTTGAACACTCTAATCTCACAGAATAAGGCATGATGAGAACAAGGGGTCTTCAGTTATTATAAATTTGTTGTTTCTGTGAATTTCTAATTTTAGTATTTTTTTAATTCTAATTATATAATGTCCTTTTAATTAAACATTAAAGAAAAAACAAAGGCTGAACAATCCTTAGCCATCCTCAATACAGCACAGTTTTTTTTTTAATGTATTGCTTTCTTTTTTTCTTTTTAACTTGGGCCAGATTCTGTCAAAAGTGTTGACTTTCCAAGCTGTCACAATTCTTCTTGAAACATCCAAATGTACCACTGTATTTTAAAAGACTAATCAAGCATTATATAATGAATTTCCAGCATGAAGCTGAAACCTAGTGTCTTAGCTATTTTCCTGTTGCTATGATAAAACACTGACATAAGCAAATTGTAAACAAGAAAAGAAGGAAGGAAGAAAGGAAGGAAGGAAGGAAGGGAGGGAGGGAGAGAGGGGCGGAGGGAGGGAGGGAGGAAGGAAGGAAGGAAGGGCTTATTTTTGCTTACAATTCAAAGTACAGTACATCATGTAAGGAAGTTGCAGAAGCAGGAGCTTGAGAGGCAACTGGTAACACTGTATCCATAGTTAAGAAGCAGAAAGCAATAAATACTTGTGCTGAGCTCAGTTTCTCTCAGGATTGGCGAAGGAAGAGAATATTTAGTGTGCTGAAAATAAAACCACTCATGTCCGGTGTATAAAAATTCCTAATGTGACAGCAGCATACTTATGGTTGAATTGAGTACAGTTTCAAAGCATGACTGCTTTGCTACATGTGTATGTACTTTCTCATAATTATAAAGAGATAATTAATTTTACAAGCTTGTAAATGAAAGACAATTATTATTGCTTTTAGAAATAACTATTATAATATTGTTTTATTCCTTTGCTTTGGAGAACAGTAAATTTGAATTTTAAGTTTTGTGTGCACTATTTACTAGTAAAATATTTGACACACTGGTGGAACTAATAAAAGGGAAGAAATAAATTAAATACTCTAAAAATCAGTACCCATATTTTTAGATCAACAAAATATTCAAATTTTAATTTTTTAATGTTTTCCTAAAATGTTTTTATCATTTTTATTCCCAGCACCCTGTGGAAGTCATTCAACAGGTTCGGATGGCACTGTACTATCACCAAACTACCCCAAAAATTACAGTGTGGAACATAATTGTGTTTACTCTATAGCAGTTCCCAAGGAGTTTGGTAAGTAAGATTCATCTTATCATGTATTATTCCATTTCTAGACATCCGTCATTTTTTTCTCTGCAAACTTTGAACAATTTCCACAAGAATACATACTACTTATAAAGATTTTGCTTTGGAATTTGGGATGATAGCTTCATAATAAAATGTTGAGGTCATTTTATTTTATCTGAATTAACAGTCACGTATACAGGTGAACAACAATACAAAAATGAAAACAGGATTGTTTTTAATTTTTAAAAATGAAAACATCCAGTAACCTTGCAAGTGCCTTCCTTATATAAAATAATATAAAGTTACACAAAATGAGAAATTACTGGAGCAGAAAGCGAAATCTGTTATGCAAAATCTACATAAATTCAAATATAGAATTATTGCAACAGCAACAGTGTTGTTTATAAAACACATCAAGCTTATGGTTTATTAACACATTTCTAGAGGGAAAATGTTTTGGTTTTATGCACCTAATTTTTAAGACTGAAAGTACTACGAAAAGACAACAAAGGACATTCCAGCTCTTCTTGTAAAGCTGGCAATCTGTTGTATATTGGCACTAAGAACACTCTATGTCCTTTGCTGACTTAACACCCCCTAATTGTGAGTCTTAGAAGTCATCTCGCTAGCTTGTTAATGTGTTGGCTCTGAGATCCAGCTGGATCTATCCCAGATTAAGCTCTGTTCATGGATGGATAGGCAAAGAAAATTTAGTGAGTAGTAAAGTATGAGAAAGGATCTGAAAGTTCATAAACTTCTAGAATTTAGATTTACAGCACCGTGATACATAGCAAAGGATTTGTTGCAGCTGTCGTGAATGTCTGAGTATAGATGACTCAGTAGTCTAGCAGAAGGACATGGGTTATGTTATTTAAAGACTACTAGATAGTATCTTCACTGAACATTTCTGTTGTTGATATATAAAATAAGCTGATGGTTCCGTCCAATTTCTTAAAACCAGATACTACCTATATATCTTTTCCTGCTCTCCGAGTCAAGTCTGACACTCTAAACTTAATTGTGAGTGCTGCTGTCAGAAGGGAAGTATTCAACCTTTCATTATTTCATTGTGATAGAGCAATGATGCCAACCTTAGCAAGATGTCAATTTTGGTACTGTGTGAAGTATTTCCTCTCCCTAGCACATTGATTGATTTAATCGGATTTGAGCTATTTGATATTTAGAAGAGTGACAGGTTAGAAAAAAAGAATATCATTCTCATCCTCGTGCTTATTTATGATTGCCTTTTCTACCCTAGACAGCCCTCCCTTCACTATGAGTTTTATGGTTCCCAGATGCCAAAATGTTACATGGCTACTGACAGAATCCTAGCAGTGACTGTCCAGAAAACGGCAGGACTCTCTTAGTCCTCTTTGAAAACTATTAATTTGCTCTATTAAAATCTCTCTGAGAGGCAGCCATGTGACCAGAAGGAGGAGAAAAAGAAAAATTAGGCCTTATATGTTCTGACATGCAGATAAGCTGATCACCTTGGAGGTATTTGGCAGTAGCCTATATATGCTTCAAAGAGAAGGACTGACATGTTAATAAATATGAAGATCCTTACATAATCTAATCTTTGACAGATTAATATGGACTGAATTTAATCCTCTTTTTGGATGTATTTAGTTTTATTTTACGTACATGAGTGCTTTGCATGCACATATCTAAGTGTACCACACATATACAGTGTACTCGGAAGCCAGAAAAGAGTGTTGAATCTCCTGGAGCTGGAGTTATGGACAGTTGTTAGCTGCCATGTGTGTGCTCTGAACCGAACCTGCGTCCTCCACAGGAGCAGTCAGGTTCTTAATTGCTGAGCCATCTTTCCAGGACCGAATTCAATCCTCTTAATATAAAAATAATGCCACATGAAGATAAACGTGTTCTTTAAAACTATGTTTTAGAAACAAGTCTTACTATTGGCTAAAACAAAGTATACTTTAGATTATTAGTAAGGGAAATGATTTTATTTTAAAGATATTTGTTTTATTCCAAACTATATATGAATTTAAATACTCATATTCAAATTTGACCCCCTTTGTTTTCTCTGGGAAGTTACATGATCTCCTTGAGTTCCAATTTCTTTCTCTGTGAAGTGAGAACCCTTTCAACAGAGAAGAAATTGTGGATCATAAATGATACCTGCATATCTACTGTACCTTACCTCTATCCTGCGTAGTAACATTGCTTGCAAGAGTGTAGCTTGGGGTCAAATTTCTGGATTCAGGTTCATCTCAACGACTTGCTTTTTTGGTCGAACAAAGCACAACTTCAGTCTAAGCCTTACTTCTTCTCATCTCTAAAATGGTGATGATTACTTTTTACATCATAGTATTATATTATAATCAAATATTACAAGGAGATAGATGGTATAACTCATACCAAGTCAAATACATTTAGACACATTTTTATGTTTACAGTCATGAAAAACACGCTTCAACCTTCTCAAAGAAATGAAGAAATCAAATGACCTACATTATCTGTTGAACAAGGCTCTTAAAATTGCAATGGATTAAAAAAAGTGAAACTCTTATCTGATTGTTTGGTTAAGGAATCAAATGTTAAGGCATGAAAATAAACTCATGCCATTCATCCAGTGATGCCCCACAATTTTCTGAGAGTTGTGGGATTACATATCCACCATTGTTTTGTTTCTCCCATCCATCTCTTTAGCTCTTTCATTTGAAACAATTAGGGAACAGTCAGCGGTTTGCTGTTTTGATTCTCTGCATGCTGTCTTTCTCATTTTGCCATATTTCCCTGATATTGCCACACTGAGCTATTTCTCCTTTTTTTATTACTCTTTTATCATGTACATAATGTCTCAAATTTTTCTCTGTTTCTATCACTTATTCCAAATCATCATTCCTTCATTTATCTATTTTATATGAGGGTGCTTTTAGAACGTGATTGCAAATCATTTCACACATTATCTGTCAAATGCACTCAGTTTATTTGCTACAACTGCATTTTGAACAGCAGTTAAGCTCTGGAGTAGTTACATAAGGAGAAAACATCATACATAAAAAACAGCAGTGAAAATGCTTTGTTATTCATGGAGGGTAATCTGCACGATATTACCTATGCCATATTGTCTCACAATAAGTATAATAGGACATTTTTTTCCTTCAATGTAGGGACAGATGACAGTTATTTTAGTTATTTTATTTAACTGCAGATGAGCAAGGATTGCTTCTCACGGACTGTGTGTTATCAGATCATGCTCATTTGTTTATTTTTATCTGGTGCAGAATGGACTTTATGTAGGTTAAATATGTTTATAACTTGGCCCTGCTGAATGAATGCATACTATTTTGCCTTTAATTGCTGATCTTTTTTTCTAGATGAAAAGAAGGTTACTTCATATTGTCATGAACATCATTAATTTCAGTTTGACCCTCTTATATTAGGGATAATTTGCCAATGCTTTCACTCTAGGATAGCAGTTGTTCTGTTTCCTCTAAAAATGAAAATTATTGATCAGTTGGCTAGTATTTATTGATATTTTTCTCTGTTTCTTTTACAGTATTAAACCATTTTGCTTCACTTTTGGGATTCCAAAACATTTAGCAAAATAAATTTAAATTTCCCTTCTCTTTCCAGTTTTTAACCATCAATTACTTTTTCTTGCACTTTGGTTACTTAGTTATTCATACATCATTTCTCAGTGAGAAAATACAGAACCCAGATTTTGACTTTGTATAAGTGAAATGGTTTAGAAGGTAACAGACCTCCTGACATGGTCTAAAAGAAAATGCTTTAGTGATATAAATATAAACCCAGAACAAATCAGATGGTAGAGGAAGTGGAATTAGTAAAATTGATGAGTAAATGTGGACATTTATTCCAAAAATCAGCTGAAAAATGAAGCATAAATAGAATAATTTCCAAGTTCGTATACAACTCAAAGGATAATTTCCATTTTGTATTTAATTTTCTCTTGGAATAGAGGACACTTGGGGCTGGAGAAATGGCTCAGCAGGTAAAGGCAGTGGCTGCTTTTGCAGAGGATCTGGGTTTGATTCCCTGTGCCCACTTGGCTGCCAGTTGTCCATAACTCCAGTTCCAGGGGATCCAACACCTTGTTCTGGCCTCCACGGGCATTGAATGAGATGGGTACATAAAATTCTCTAGGTTTGGAGAAGACAAAATTTAAGAAAACACAAACACAGGTTTATATCAAGAGAAACATTTCACAATTACTAGCATAAGCAATCACACATAGAATTAGTTTCACATGGCACAATGGATTCATTATCTGTCAATATTTCCACCTCTGTTTCTCTTTAGTACCATCTTCTCACAGTCTAGGAATTCTCTGTAAAGTAGGATATATTAGTGCCCCAGGGGTGCTATAGCAATGTGCTATAACTTGGAGACCTAAAACAATAGAAATTTATTCACTTCTAGTTCTAGAAGCCAGGTACCTGAAAATAAGATTATGTAATGTCACACACATCCTTCAGGCTCTGAGAATCACTTTTCACTCCATCTTCCTAGCCTCTGGTGGCTCCAAGCAATCCTTTAGTTTCTGGATTGATAGCTGCATGACTCTGATGTCTCATCTTAATAAGACCTTTAAGGAACCCTGTCTCTCTGTCTCTGTTTCTGATTGATACTCTCTTCGTCATAATGACACCAATTATATAGGGCCCTGTTGAATCAGTGTTATATCATCTTGATCCTTAGCTAATTAAATCTGCAAAGACTGCTTTCCATACACGATGATATTCTGAGCTTCTGAGCTGATATGAGTTTTGAGGACACTATTTAATATATAATCACTATAAATGATGCTATTAAATTTTCATGTACAAAGCCTTAACATTAATCAGTTTGTAAGCCACATTAGATATTAGCTGTGTAGACTATAAAAATTTTCAAGTTTCAGAGAAGCCTAACCAGTATATTCAGGATAGCTTGTGGTCACTTAAATTTGTGCTTAGTTTTCTGGAGCGTTGTAACTCCTAAAGATCCTCCCTGAACCGCTCTGTTAGCTTATT